CTTGGGCCTGTTTCTGCCCTGGAAAGGTGGAGTAGAGCTGCAGTTGGTGGAATTAGAATAGAGATCAGCTGTCTTAGAGTCAGTCTTCAATAAAATGTGTTGCCATACAGCTTTGCTTCCCTCAGACCATCATTCATTCCTGCTTCTATTGCCCCGTTCCCTTCTTAAACTATCTCTTACCTTTACAGCTAGATTATGGAAATTTTGTAAGAATCCCATTTCACTATGTATTAAAACTTGTGGCCAGCCTACATGAGGATTGGTAGCCACCTGAATGCCCAGGCTCTGGAGTAGGACTGATCTGATGGTCCTACAGTGAATGCCACATTTCACTGCAGTTCTGGCCTTTTTGCTCTTCAGGTGGCTCCTACCTCTTCCAAGCAGCATGGTGTGAATGTCAGTGTGAATGCATCGGCCACCCCTTTCCAACAGCCAAGTGGATATGGGTCTCATGGATACAACACTGGTAAGCTCCCCATGGCCCTGGCTTAGTGGTCTCTGGGGTGTTACTGAGTGAATTTCAGAGAGAAAGACTTGGTGCTTGAAAATTGAATTGGCAAAGGTGTGCTGCTTGACACATGATTATTAATGCTTACCTAACTTGAGTGCCTGGAGCAGCACCAGCAGAGGAGCAGCACCAGCAGAGGAACTTGATACTAATACACGCATCTGCTTCTCAGGATGGGAATGTTTGAGGGTATATGTTGGCCATTAAAATATGTCATGTGGCCTACACTATAGGTGAGAAAAGTAGGGCAGGGCCTCAAGATTTTGCTGAGATAGCAGTGGAAGCAAGTGTCACTGATAGTACAAGAGAGGACATGTTCACGGAGGGGTAAGTGCTTTCCTAGCTGACAGACTGGTAGGTTTTGCTGAAGTCTTAGTTTTATTCCCTAGCTGGAAGAGCTAAGATACTGGAAGGAGTAAAAACCTTGACTCCTCAGAAGAATAATTGGTTGGGAAGAGTTGGACCTTTAGGTTCTTTTCATTTGTATGACTGGTCTTCATGCATGGTCCATTGCACACCTAATGACATTCAGGGAAGCATAGAAATCTTCTGGTTTTATACTGATCCAAAAGACATTTAGCCTAATCCCTCCTTTCCATGCCTGACATCTGTGCTCTACTTGTGGAGGTGAGAGTCATCTTTGAATAAAACGATTCTTTTTCCAGTAACTTTTAGGTACCTAGGGGGAGAAGGTTGTTCCAGTTGCTAAGGGTTGGGGTTGAGGGTTGTCCTTCAAAACTCTCAGCCCAGTTACAGCTTAATAGTGATTTGGATGAAACAGCATTGGTGGTCTTCACCCTTGTATGGACTCTGGGAGGTAGATTACCAAGGTTTTCAATAATTGGATAACTGTCTAAGCTAAGCACAAAAGGCAGTAAGTCTAGGAATTAACAGCCAGATGGAGCTTTGTACTGTGTTGTACAGCATAAGAGTGGGTCATAATTTAAATTTAAAAATCCTGAGAAACCCCACTGAGATTTAATATCTGGGCTTCTATGGTTCTCACTGAGCAAAGTCTGCCCTGACCCTTGGTGGGGGAGGATTATAAACTGGACTTGGCATGGCCCCATTTCAAGGACATGAAAGTTACACCTTATCTTGCCCAGGTATGAGAACATAAAGTAGGTGGCTGATGTAAAAAAAAAAAAAAATACGTTTAGCATATCTGATTCTGGACACCCTAGCTTATTACTTCCCTTAAGATTTCAGAACCCTGTTACAACATCCCTTTGAGAACCCCCAGTTCCTACCCCACAGAGGGCTGTCATTCCATTACTCATCAACCTCTAAATTCATTTATTTTTATGTATTTGATTCCTTTTAGGAAGAAAATATCCACCCCCTTACAAGCATTTCTGGACGGCTGAGAGCTAATTTGGCCCAGGCTGGGGGCTGTGTTTTGTGTGTGTGTATAAATTTGCACTGAAGTCTTGTTTCAGAAACCAGACCACTGAGGAGAGCCTGCTGAGCTGAGGCCATGCCTGCGTGGCTTGGGGAAATGAGTTGGTGGATACCTTCTGGGCTTGCCCTCCCCCATTTCCCTCTTCCCCCATGTGTCAGACCCTGTCTTACCCATTTCGAGTTCAAGCGGTGCAGCACCTCCGAAGCATCAATGCACACACCTGCTGTTGCTTTTGATTTCTGGAAGGCATGTAGTTTCAACTTGTAACAAAAATATTTGTAGTCTTCAATAAACTGTGGTATTTCTTTAGCTAACTCTGGCGTTCTTTCCGTGCATGTCTTTCTGGACACTAGGAACCAATGTTGTGTTGAGAATGAAGGGTGGAGGGTGGCCCTTTCAATCAAACCCCAGCATAGCCAAAGAGCTGTTAACTTTTCAGTGTGGTTGTATTTAAGTGGGGGGAGGGGAAACGGCCTCAGTTTCCAACCTTGGATTGGTTGGTAAACAAAGTATTTGTAGAATATCCCAGATTTCCCATGTTTATATCTCTTCACTTTTCCATTTAGCTCTTTTTCCCTTGCCTTTTGACATAAACAGGAGGGAGAAAATAAAAAAGTTAGCATGTCCTGTCATGTCACATTGAAAGCAGAAGAGATGGTGTTCAAAGCTGTTGTTAGGGAAGTATCTTTCAAGGTTTACTTCCCACATTTGATTTCCAAAGGCCCACTGGCTGATTAAGATCTGATAGTCATTTGTGATCTGCTAGTTGATAACTCAAGACTCTGGAACCTGCTAGCCTAACATTGTTCTTAGTCCTCCTATGGCTTCTCAGAGATTGTGGATGATGAGTCAATGTGCACTTGTGGGTCCAGCTGAGGGATGTATGGGAAGTTTGGTCAGACCTGACTGTGGACCTTAAGCCGGACTCAGCCCATGGATTAGTGCACCTTTGCCCTTTGTAGAGTTAACTTGGACAGTGAGAGCACCCTTGGAAAACCAAAATAATCAGCTTTCCTTGTATTTGTCCCTAGCCCTATGGAGTAATTTTATCCTGTGGCGTCTGACCAACTTTCCCAGGGGCAGCTGTGCTGAGATCGGTTCTTGTTTCTCCCTACCATCCACATTGTGTTGGTATGATTATCACTGTTTGGGAGGGGGGCAGGCAGGGCATTTTGCTGTTAGAAGGAAAGCAAGAGAACTCTACTCTGAGGATCTTTCTAATAACTGTAGCGAGGAGCAGGGAAACAGTATCCATGGCTTTCTAGGTTTCTAATGTTCACATTGAAGCCATTATGGTTACTACACAGTATTTCCCCCCCACCCCCCATGTTTCTAGTCCTTTCAACCCCATATGTGATATAAGGCCTTTGGACTAGACGCTGGTTTTTAGCTAGCCCTGCCTCTGAAAAACAAGAAAGATGGGGGTAGGGGCATATTAGAACACTTTCCCTGCTGCCCAGTTCAGGGATCCACTTGGCCATTTCTATCATCCTCCTAGGTAACCTAGCTTTGTTTTGCATAGAGTGACCAAGTGAGCTCTGTGAGCCTTAGTAAAGATAAATCATTGTCTCTTTAGGTTTATCTTTAAAGTGTTCTTTAAAAGTTTATGTCCTGTTTATTCCATCTTCAGTCTCAACCTTCCACACACACCTTATTAGCTTTCGCTTTTTCCGTAACTGAATTGTTCTTACAGTTAAGCCTGCTACCCAGTATTTTGATGCAAGGGCAACTGAGGTTTTGAAAAGGGAAGGGGAAACATCATCACCACCCATTAGCTCTTTAAGAAATTCTTGTATTATTCCCTTCTGTTACTTCAATGCCTTCAAAGTGTATAGTTGATACTTTGGAGATGTGGAAGTATTTTCTCCTGCTTGGTTTTTGTAGTTCTGTTTTTTTGTTTTTTTCCCTAGTTGGTATTTGCTCCTCCCTGGAACTGTGAAGTTATGATGTGGGAGGGTTATCCATGTGAGGGTGCTACTTCTACTTCCCTTGTGAAGATCTAAAGTGATTGTCCAAGGTGACTTAACTTAGGAAGCCTATCTTTGTTGGAGCCACTGGTTGGGAGGATTTGGGTTCTGGAGTTTGAAAGGGAACTGCTATTGAATTGTAGGTGAGTGAAGGATTTTCTTTGTAATTTGGTCACTTAACGTGTGCTTCTTAGAACTTCACTACCAGAGTGCTCCTTAGCAGGGGATAGAGGTGTGTGTCTAGGGGGAAGATCTGAGAGCATAGAAGTGCCAAGTTGCTGGGTTTTTGTCTTTTAACAAACATGTAAGTTGGGGTACAATCTGGACTAGAGCTTTTATTTTATGAAATTGTAAACTGAAAATTACATTAGGTTTTTGTGTCCGACATAGGCTGTAGGAAATAGCCTGCCCCTATACCTCGTTCCCTTCCCCGCACTGTGTTCAGTGTGTGTAAATGGAAATTTATCCTTGTGACAGCCTTCACATCCTAAAGACATAGGCTAGAACAGTGGCGGTGAACCTGTGGCTTGTTTGCCACAGTGGATTGTTTGTACCAAAGAAAGCTCTAAAAGGTTCACCATCATTGGACTGTGAGCTCCAGAGCTGTACTGAGTGAGCTGAGTGAGGTTCTGAAAATAAAAGTGCTCTTGGGGAATGTATGGGCCTGCTCCTTAGGACTTTGAGGTGTGGGTTTAAGCCCAAAGTCTCCAAGGAACAGAAAGAGCCAGACTACCCACATCTTCAGAAGAACTAAGTAGAGTTGGGGTAGCTTGACTTGCAATAGATATTAAAAGTTTATTAAAGATGTATATATTGTTTGACTTTTGGCACAGATGTACCTTGAAGTCTGACATGGTAGTAAGGTTTGGTTATATCTCCTTGCTCGCCTCATGCAGCTCAGCTCTTTCACACAGATATTCCACACATATCTGGAAAGGACAAAAGAACTCTTAAGGAGCCTTTGTCATGAATTCTTATCTCTCAGGATTGACCTGAAGGTGGAAAAACAGACCAGAATTCCCTTGCAGTGCCATAGCTAGAAAGGCTGCAGACCTCATTTCATCCCGGAAGGAGGTGAGGCAGTAGCTGAGCTAATCCTCCTGTCTGTTTCCTCCTCCCCCAGGTGTATCAGTCACCTCCAGTAACACGGGCGTGCCAGATATCTCGGGTTCTGTGTACTCCAAAACCCAGGTAGGTGCCTGGCTGTAGATGGAAGTGTAAAAAGATGGGACATAGAGGAGGTAGGGCTGCAGTAATAGAATATAATGGGCAAAACAATCGTAGGGAAGGTGTCAGACCCATCCTATCTTTTATAAATGAAAGATCTAGCTTCAGTTTTTCCAGAAATTTAAATTTAGCACTCCCAGAAAGCTGAGATGTGGCCAGCTATTGTGATTTATGGTGTAGCTGTCCTTTACCCACTCTACCTTGTTCATAACATGTTCAAGAGAAGAGAAAACAGGGATGAAGGGACACTAGCTCATTTCATCTTAGTAACCAGGAGTGGTAATGGAAAAAATCAAGTACCCTAAAGTAAGCATTTGTTACTAAGTCCACAAGTGTGTGGGGTTTTTTTGTTTGTTTTTGTTTTTATCCCTCCCTCATCAGCATAAAGTTTGCTGTAGTTTAGGGAATTTGAGGGAGCCAAGACCATGAATACTTGAGGCACCTCAAATGTGTTTGTGTTGTCTTTTTTTTTTAACTATCCAAGGACCTGTAATATCTGCCCAGCTTCAGAAGTGTGGATGCCCAACTAGTCAGCACATTTCCCTGTGGTCGTATGTGTAATAAGTTACAGAGTGCTTGTACATTCAACCTCTGGCTTGAGCCTTACAGCAGAAGTCAGTAGCATCCCTGTTTATCGAGGAAACTGAGGCTGGCAGGCTGTCGCCTAGGATTACTGAAGGGTAGGAACAGGGCTGAGATTTGAATATCTAACTTTGGGTGCACTATCCAGACCATGTTACTTCTTGAGGGTGGGGGACTCAGGCTCAGAAGCTCCCAGGAGTCTTTGCTGACCCCTTGTACTCTCTCTCCTCCTATCCTGGATAGCAGTCCTTTGAGAAACAAGGTTTTCATTCCGGTACTCCTGCTGCCTCCTTCAACTTGCCTTCAGCCCTAGGAAGTGGGGGGCCCATCAATCCGGCCACAGCTGCTGCCTATCCACCTGCCCCCTTTATGCATATTCTGACCCCCCATCAGCAGCCGCACTCCCAGATCCTTCACCATCATCTGCAGCAGGATGGCCAGGTAATAGTTCTTCCCATCTCCTTTCCCTTCCTCTTCCTTCCTATCCCCTGAAACTGCTTTCCCTTTCCTCTACTCCCCTTTCCTCACCACCACCCTCACCCATTCCTCCCCAGTGCCAGCCAGGGGCACACAGTACATACACAAGCGCACATAACACGAGCGGCCGGCAAAAGGAAATGTGAGAGGAGCCAGATTTCAACCCTGTTTGGGGGGGCCTTTCTCCTCCACCACCTCCTGTGGCATAGCTATCCTCATCCCATCAGACCTGGGTCACACCTTCCCTCTTACCTCTCCCAGCCTTCCCCCTTCCCTGACATAGCTTTTCCCTTTTAATGGTGGAGTTCTATTGTCAAAGTTTGTCCCTTTATTTTCCATATATCCTGGTTCTGCCTCAGCTACCATATTTGCAGATGATTCTCTGTTGCCAGCACCAGCAGGAGGAGCAGGTAATGAAACTGAATGATGCTATGCTTGAACCCACTCCTTTTCAGTCCCCATTTCACTTCCACAGCCTCAGGGAACTTGAAAAGACTGCGCGGTCACAAATCGGGATACACAAACATAACAGACACCTTGCTGAGCTCTCTGGCCTCCCCGTCCTCCCCATCCTCCCCTCCTCAACACCCTCTTTATCTTTGTACCCTTGGTCAACTCGAGAACATTTAGTTAACAGAAGGGAAAGGTTCTGGACAGTATCTGGAGGCTGGGGCCTCAGTTGGTCCCTCCTGTCTTACCAACAGTGGGCTCACTAAGATGATGCTCACTAGTGGGTAGATCGTGGGGCAGTGCAGCACCTCTGGAGAGCTCCATTGCAGCTGCCTGAGCTAAAATAAAGGCTTCCTTGCTCTCAAAGACAGTTTTCCAAATTGAGGGGATTAATAGGGATCGGTGAAAATGGAATTACGATCACTCCAAGAGGTGATAATTTTCATAGAACCCCTTTTTTTCAGACTGAGTACAAGTTAGAGAAAATATTAAAAATGAGTAGAACTGACTCTTTCAAAGATCCTGTTTTCATTTTTCCCCTATTGAAATGTCAAAAATTCCTTGTAGTTTATTAAAGAGTGCTGCCAGCTATAAAAACTAGATTATATAGTTGAGAAGCATCAGAGTAAGTTCTGTGTGAACAGAATGGGCAAGCAAGACAGTTTACACATCTCCGTCTGAAGATGTTACAGATTTGTCCCACTAACTAGACACCTTTTTCCTCCCCATCGTCCTCCCATTTCCCTCCAGACGGGCAGCGGGCAACGTAGCCAGACCAGCTCCATCCCGCAGAAGCCCCAGACCAACAAGTCTGCCTACAACAGCTACAGCTGGGGGGCCAATTGAGGCCCTGACCCTCTTCTCCCGGTCCCATCTTCTGAGAGGGCTTCTCAGCCTGGAAAGTACGGAAACATCAAAGAGAGAAAGGAATGTTGGGGGGTTGTGCAGCCCCCACCCCAGCGGCCCACCCCATGCCTCAGCTTCACATCTCCCATTCCCATACCATCCCCACCTTGTTGTATGTATTATAGGATTTGTATTTTCTCCCCTCCTTCCTTCTTCCCCTTGCATTCAATATTATGAAACTTTGCTGTGGGAACTGTCCTTCCTTCACTTCTTCCTGTTCACCCTGGTGGTGTATGGGTAAGGTGGGAGGGGGGAGCCCCCCAAATATATATCAGCCCAACAGCCCTAAGTCTCCTCCTTTATTATTAGGAAAACAAAGCGACAGCAGCAACAACAAAAAAAGCGTCATGAATATGAAAAGCATTGTCAGATGAATTAGTTGAAGTGTTTTTTTTTTTTGTACTGTGTCCTCAAATTTAATGGATTAATGTGTCTTGTATATATAAAAAGAAAACCTCTACCTTCAGCCTCTGCCCATTCTTGCTCCGTCTAGGATATCCTCAGTCTCGTCGATGAGCAGCTTGGTGAATAAGTATTCCCGTATCAGCTGGGCTTCCTCTTGCAGGCCTCGGAGGCAGTGGAATAAAATGAAATCTTTGCCCTTTAAAAATTTCTGACCTTAATGTGCTAGTATTTTGCCCTTGAGGGAATTCCCTTCTCTCCACCTCTTAAGAATTTCACAATATGACTGGAAAGAAACACTACAAATCTGCATTTTCTCCAGAATCAGCAGGTCTCAGACAGTGAGGTGAAAGGAGAGAGACTGGGTGGAAAGGGGCTGAGAAGTTGAAACTATTTCAAGAAGCGGATGAGACATAGACACGACTTAAGATGGGTCCAGGCAATAAAACCGAAAAGGAGGCTGAGAGGAACATTTGCCGCTGTCTGGGGCCCCTTCCTAAGTCAGCTGCTAGCAGTTTCCTTCATGCTTCTCTGGCTGCTTAGCAATACCCCATCCTTTACTTAAAAACTGTAGGTAAGACGTGGGTTGGGAAACATGGAAGCTTGGAAGCATGCCGAGGCTTTGGAAGTCAACCATATTTCGAAAGCATTTACTGTTCCCTCCCCCGCACCGGGGTCACACCCAGGGCCATTCCACCGCTCCTCAGCCCTGCCCCCGTAAGACATGGGTCTCCTGTTGCCCAGGCAGGCCTCCTGCTCCAGCCTCCCGGAGTACTGGCACTACACACGCGGCCACTGTGCCAGGCTGGAAAGGAGTCTTCCTGCTCCAAATCCCTCGTCCTCGTCCTTTTCCTGGCTGCTTCACTAGCTTTCCTCCCCTAGCGGGGTTAAGAACTCTCGCTCTTGCCAGTCTGCGCAGGCTGTGCAGGAAATGCCTAAACGTCTCGGGGCAGTGGAGAGAGGAACTGCACTCCTCATGTCGTTTATTCAGGGCTGGGGAGTTCAGTACTTGTGCTTGGTAAACAGTCCCTCCCATTTATGTTAGACACCCACGTCCGTCCACAAACAAGCAGGGGCACAGTGGCTTCCGCGTCGGGCGGGCGCGGGGCGAGGGTGGTCGCGGCAGGCTCGCGTGTGCGGCAGCCCTGCCCTCTGGTGGCCGCGGGGTCCACTCGGCGTGAACGCGCGACAACACCGTGGGCCGGGCAGGCAAGCGGGAAGGAGCATCGACCCAGCTGGGAGGCGGCCACGGAAAATGAGAACCTGGCACGCCCACCCTTTCACAGGAAACTAAAAGGTGCGGTAACGATACACTTAGAGAAGGACCGTCCCTGCCTTCGTCTTCCGTCTTACAGTCCTTTTACGACAGTGCCGCGTCGCGGCTTGCTTTTCGGCAGCGTGGACTGACGCGTCGCTCAATTTCCGATAGCGCGTCGCGGGCTTCTCCCTGGTGCGAATGTACCACGGGAGGGCTTCAAATGTTCGAGTCCCAGTACGGCATGAGTCTCTTTGACCTTTTCCGGGGCTTTTTCGGCTTTTCTAGACCTCGGAGGTGAGAGTAGATCCGAGTTGGACTGGGTATTTGGGAGGAAGCTTGGTCCCTTCCCCCTATTTTTGGAAAACCTCCTTCTCCTTGCATTCTTGCGGAGAAGATAGGAGTCGCAACACTGAGTGCACACCTGGCGACAGTAACTAAGGCTGTCGTTAAGAGGAGAAACAGCAGCTTAAGCTTTTCTCCATTCTGGGGTGATGCAACAGGAACCTAGGCAGGAAGACAATGGGGGCTTGGGGAGGAGGACGGTGAGCCAATGAGCTGGACCTTAGGAGAGGGGTGGGGCTGGGGACGCCAGAGGAGAGGCAGCAAGAGGCGCTGGGGAAAGTTTCGAGGTGAGGACTGAGGAAAAAAACAAGAGACAGAAAATCTGTCAGCTGTTAATGTTTTCATGTGGCAGCCAGTCCTCCAAAATCCGCCCCAGCTTTCCAGACCCCTGCTCTTGCCCCACTTTGCAACCCATGAGTTGATTTTCTGCCTTCGGTAGTGCTGAAGTCTTGGTGGTTTACCTGCCTCCACCTTCAGCTACAGAGATCCCTTTTTTGGAGGGATGACTCGAGATGAAGATGACGATGATGAGGAAGAGGAAGAAGAAGGAGCTGCGTGGAGCCATGGGAATCGGAGGTTTGATAGTCCCCAGCCCCCAGAGCAATTTGGCTTTGGCTTCAGCTTCAGCCCAGGAGGAGGGATGCGTTTCCAGGATCACTTTGGCTTTGATGACCTTGTACGGGACTTCAACAGCATTTTCAGTGAGATGGGAGCCTGGACCTTGCCTTCTCACCCTCCTGGTGTGTGGGTTTCCCGGGGGAGAACCGTGGGGTTTCTGTGGGTTGGTGGGTGAAGTAAAGAACCTGCTAGAAGTATCAGGGGACGGACTGTGCGAGGAGACTGATGATTTCTGGGAGATTTAAGTCCCACTCAAGCATCTGCCTGCCACCTTTCTGCAGAACTTCCAGGTCCTGAGTCAGAGACACCTGGTGAGAGACTTCGGGAGGGACAAACACTTCGGGACTCAATGCTTAAGTACCCGGATAGTCACCAGCCCAGGATATTTGGGGGAGCCTCGGAGAGTGATCCAGAACCCGAACCCCCAAAGTCAGCACCAGGCTGGGGGTCCCAGAGACCTTTTCAGAGGGTGAGTACTCCATCTGGCTGGACGTGAAAGTAAAGTGTAACCACTGCAGTCCTTGGTGAGATCTCATAGGTTAGAGTTTGAATTCTTATTTATGTTTCCTTCTTCTCCTCCCCCTTCCCTTTCTCCTCTTCTTCCTCTCCTCATCTCTTCCCCTTTTCACCTCCTTTTCCTTTCTCTTTGTACTGGGGATTGAACCTAGGGCCTTGTTTATGTTGGGCACCTACATCCCCTACCACTGACCTACATCCCCATCCTGTTTTCTGTATTAAGCTTCTTGGTGGCTATTCTTCAGGGGAAATGGAGTTCTGCTTCTTGTTTAAAAACAAAGATGGGTTGGGGAGATAGCTCTATAGAGAAAGTGTTTGCCTAGCAAGCTCAAGGTCACTGAGTTCAACCTGGTACCGCCGCAAAAAAAAAAAAAAAAAAAAAAAAGACAAACTACTGGTTTAGATGATTCTTGGGTAAGGCAGGATTGTTGGGGAGGGTAAGACAGCATTATTTCAGGAAGGAGAAAAGGTTGAGTAAGTAGAGACCCAGTGAAAAGGTGTTTTGGAACTTGGGAGCAATTTGAAGGAAAGTATCTTTTCACCCATTGTGGCTTCTTCTACAGTTTGATGATGTATGGCCTGTGACTCCCCATCCTATAGCCAGAGAGGACAATGGTGAGTCTAGAGGAGAGAATATTTACCACCCCTCTTTTTTCCTAAAGATGAACTTGTTTCTTCTCCCTGAAGTGTCTTTCTGCCACACATCTCCCTTTCCCTTAGACTTTCTTGGTTCTTAATTTCTCTGCCCTTCCAGATCTTGATTCGCAGGTTTCCCAGGAGGGTCTTGGCCCGGTTCTACAGCCCCAGCCCAAGTCCTACTTTAAGAGCATCTCTGTGACCAAGATCACTAAGCCAGATGGGGTGAGTTGGGGGAGAGGGATGAAGGATACTATGGCCAGGGACCATCCTGGAGAGGGACATGTGTAAAGAAACCACTGACCTGGTCAGGTGTGGTGCCATACACCTATAATACCAGCTTCTCAAAAGGCTGAGGCAGGAGGATTGCAGTTTGGGCAACTTAATGTGACCCTATCTCAAAAGTAAAGAAGGTCTGGGAATGTAGCTCAGTGGTGGGTGTTGTTACCACGCATATGTGAGGCCCCAGATTCAATCCCCAGTGTTTTCCAAAGAAATGAAAGAAACCACTGAACTCAGCTTTAATGACACTAGGAACAGTGAGGCTTCTGCTTGTAGGTTGTAGAGGAGCGTCGGACCGTGGTGGACAGTGAGGGCCGGCGGGAGACCACAGTGACCCGCCAGGAAGCAGACAGCAGTCCTAGAGCTGGTGAGCTAAGAAGATGGGTCCAAGCCCATGTTTTAACTCCTGGGGGAAAATGAAACTCTGACCTCTGTGCCCTTTCATGTTTTCACTTCCTTCTGCCTTTCTCTGTGGGCTTTTTCACTGCTGCATGTCTGCTTTTCTTCCTTAGATCCAGAATCACCAAGACCTCCAGCTCTGGATGATGCCTTTTCTATCCTGGATTTATTCTTAGGACGTTGGTTCCGGCCCCGGTAACCTTGTTAAACTACAGAGCCTAGAGGTCCTTTCCACGTCCCACTTCTTGCTTGCCCTCAACAGACTTAGTGTCTTCTGCCACCTCTGGGCTTCTGGAGTGTGGAGCAGGGAAGAGGGACTTCATCAGTCTGTCATTCACCTGGACTGACCAATAAAATATTTATGCTACGAGTTTTGCCTTTTTTTTTTTTTTTTTTTTTTTTTTTTTTGCAGTACTGGGGATTGAACTCAGGACCCTGTGCTTGCCAGGCAAGCACTTATTCTACTGAGCCATCTCCCTGGCCCTTGGTTTTGTTAAAGCTATGTCTCTTTCCAGAACCATGCAGGGCTTCTCCCTGCTTTTAATCTTCTCTTTAATTTTTAATTTTTTATCCCACTTCAAAAACCTGATTTGATAAATGGGAGTCGGTGACCAGTAGAAAATTATTTTCCTTTGTGTATACTTATAATCCAAACACTACCTGTAAGCCAGGAAGCTGAGGTGGGAGGATTGCTGCAAGTTTGAAGCCTGCCTGAGCTACATAGTGAGACTCCCCCCACCCTCTTGACTTTCTTACTGTGGGGACAACTAGAGATAATTTTAGTTACATGTCTACAAACTGGGGAAGTACATCATATACCCTGAGGGTGTTTGTAGGAGGAGGCAGGAGATGGCATCTTCCCTTAATCCAGATGGTGAGATAGTTGAAAAAGCTGGGGCAAATATTTTTTAACTTACTGGCTGTTATATTTTCATATCTGTTAGGAAAGTAAAGCACAAACATTACTAGATCTTTTTTATTTTTAACAGTGCAGAACTGGGTGTGGCGGTGCACACTTAACAATCCCAGAACTCCTGTAAACTGAGGCAGAAGATGGAGAGTTTGAGGCCAGATGCCCGAGGCAAAATAGCAAATTTGAAGTCGTGCTGCTATGAGGGATGGCAGGCTTTCCACGTTTACTTCCAGTTTCTCTGAAAACCACTTAAAATGTTAAGGGTCCTTCAAGAGGCACATTATAGCAACCAGGGACAGAAATGCACGCGGTGAAACATCTAACTCGTATCTTGATGAACAGAAGTTGTTGATTAGCTACATTTATCTGTTCTGTCCAAACCTCTTCTAATCCAAGGTTAAAAGGATGCTCTTACACCTATCAGATATGTTTGATAGGGTTTTTTTTTTTTTTTTTTTTAATGTTTTAAATTATCTTGGGATATATCTTTGAGATTAGTCACAGGACTAATTGTATTCTTTCCCATTCGAAAAGTGTATCAATGATTATATAAATATCAACAAATATACCTGCACTGGATCTTTCTGTTCCTCCATTAATCTACTTGTCTTTTTGCCTATATCACATTTTTTGTTTGTATACAGTGCTAGGATTTGAACACAGGATCTTCACACAGACTACATGAGTTACATATCCAGCCCTTTTTATTTATTTATTTTTTTTATTTTTTTATATGCGGACCCGAGGAGTGAACTCAGACCCTTGTGCTTGCCAGGGAAGTGCTTATTCTACTGAGCCATCTCCCCAGTCCCTCTTTTGATTTCTTGAGGTTGGTTTCACTAAGCTGTTAAATTGCCCACATTGGGCTGGAGAGATGGCT